TACACATATTACATTATCTTTAAAAGTGGGATGCAACCTGTGCTGGTGATACTACTGCCTTCAATATTGTCATTACTTGCAAGGTATAACTGTTTTAAAGGGAATTTTCAGTGGCCTTCAACAGTCTTGTAACAAGAAAAGTGATTCTGGAAAACTTCTCCATCAGTTTTTCCTAATACGTTAATTTTTATATATACTTTGAAACATGGAGTGTCCGAATAGCAGTTGTGGAACAAGAGGGAGGCAGAGATTCTTGCCCTATACAAAAAGCACGTTCTCTTCTTCCTAGTGCCCCCTCTCAAAAGTCATACAAACACATGCTATGGATATAATTGAAAGCTTTCAGGAAACAACTGAACTTTTAAAGTACATGGTTGGATCATGAATTTGGCCTTGAAGGCAAAGTGGGGAAATGCTAGTGTTTTTTTCCTGTGTCCCATCTAGCTGAGCTTGAGACTTCAAAGCAATCCAAAATGTGTTTAATTTAAACTTTATCCTGGTTCCAGTTCAAAAGGCACAATCCATTAATCATTGGGACTTAAAAGTTTGACAAGCATATTTTTAGTTAAAGATTTTGGAATCAATATGCTTTTAGTTTGGCAAGGACTGCTAAAGATCTTGGTATTTTCTTTATACATAACAATGTATTCTGTATTTGTATTTAGTATGTACGCCTTCAATTTGCCAATGTTGCCATGTTTTCTTCTTAAGTATATGTGAAATAAAGATTACAAATCTCCAACTGTGTGTTGTGTTGTGTTGTTTGAGAGAGAAGCCACACTACAAAATGAGATCTAGTTAAACTGTTTTATTCTGTCACCCTCACTTTCTTGCTTTCAGAAAGACTGTAAGGGAGAGGCTTGTAACACTATGTGACCTGAGTGCAAAATTGGAGACAGAGGGGGAACAGAAATTCCTGATACTTTGTGAATGTAGACAGGTGGGTAACAGAAATTCCTGATACTTTGTGAATTCTTCTTGCTATTTTAGCATAATAGTATAATGTAAAGCAACTATTCGAAAGATTTTTAATATTGTAGTAATATGTAACCATAGATTTTTCTGATAAAAATGTCTATTTGGGATTTTTGTTTTATGTTAGCTTGTTCTGAATTGCTGGTTTTGTGCTTGAATTAGATAACTTTTTTTTTTTACATTCCTACTTTTTCAAAATTCCCTTAGGGAATGGGAGCATCCATAGGGAGATGCAAGTAACTCAGAACAGCTCCACAAAGGGAATTCTTGCTTTGTAGCCTTTCAGTTCGTTGAGAGTGGAATCCCTTTACATAGCGGTACATAAGAATTCAGAAGGTAAGATTTGAATTTTATAAAATGGCATTGTTAAAAGAAATTTGAAGTGAGGCTTTAGAGTCTGGTAACAAATATATGTGATTAGTGTTTAGATAGCAACAGGGTCTTAAATACATACATTAGATATGCCTTATCACAAGAAGCAACCGTGTATCTCAGTGTGGCCTGGAGTATGTAATGTTCAATATTAGATAAAACAGAAATCAGATCAGTTCTTCCATTTTCCTAATTTTTCTCTAGAGGCAAGTACAGTTTAGCCAACAGACTGCTGACTCATCTGCTAAGCTTTTAATATTTGTCACTTTTTTTGGTGGCTCCTTTTCCCATATTTAGATTTTTTAAAATAAAACACCTGAATAATTTTTATTTTCAAATAGGTTTGTGTAATTACTATCCACACACATTGCCATACTACATAAAAGGGCTAGACCTTGTACAAATGTTTGACAGTTCTTGCCCCAAAGGCCTGCAATGTAAAAGACAAGTATAGAGTAGCAGCCACTATACAGTCACAATTGTTTAACTTACATTTAGCGTTCGCAGTGTCTCAGAAATATGATGACTAATGTTTAATTTAAATCTGAATAGTCCAGTCAAATTAATAATCCAATCAAATTAATAAACTGACCAAGAATTTGGTTGGGTAGAGCCATTTTAGCCCCTTCAGTTCAGTTTTGAGCTCATTGGGAAAGAGCCATCCTTATACCCTATTTAAAAACTTAGAACTATTTCATTCCAAAGAGGTTGGTTGGCCATTATGAAGGAAACAAGCAAAACTGTGTTTAAAAACTATGTCCTAAACTCTCTCTGGGCACATCTACATGTGCCGATATAAGGTGCATTAGCCATTTTTAAGGTGCGTTAAGGGCCTGGGTCTACCCGTATGCACCCTTAATGTGTCTTAAAAGTGGTGATTTTAGGCTATTCATGCCTAAATTTGATACCTGCAAAAAGCAGGTATCAAATTTAGGCATGAATAGCTAAAGCACCCTAATGCACATGTAGATGCACTAAAGTGCATTAACACTGTATGTCAACTGACTTGGGACTAACTTTAGTCCCAAGTCTGTCCACACACTGCATTAATGAGCCTTAGGGCACGCACATATAGACACATGCCAAAATCGCCTTAGGGAAATGCACCTTAAGTTTAGGCACATGTAAAAGCATGTGTAGACATGCCCTCTGTGTCCTAAATAAACTCTCCAGGTGAAACAGGCTAAAATATCTTAGGTATAATTTCATCCTATTTACACTGGTTGATAAAGCAGCATTCATAACTGAGTTGCCTGGAACTATGTGATACACGTATGGAACCTAAATCCAAATTGTTCCAAGATTTATATCAAAAGGAGCCAGTGGGGGGCGGAAAGTGGCTCTATAAAGAGCTTACCATATGATGATTCAGCAACCTGTTGACTAATTTTTACTCTACATCTAGAGAAAATGGAAGAACTGATTTGATTCCAGTTCTATTTCATCTTGAATATATTACACACACCAGTGCTAGGATTTGGTTTGGGCCAATCTTTATTTCAGATGTGATTACCAAATTGGATTTAGGCCATAGACATGGCTCTTTTGGTATGCCACCTCATTCCCACTCAAGTTAGTGGAAAAATGTGTTGATTTCTTGAGTTAGATCAAGCCCTTGTTCGAGGACGCTTTCTAGCAGTTATACAGCTTATATATGTCTTGGTTGAGTCTTAGAAAGTTAACTCAAAAGGAGTACCTCAGTTTCACAGCAGCAGCAGTTCTCTGTGAATTTGTAAGTAGAATGTGAAAAAGTACTCACATTTTGAAAATTTCAATTACATTTTTGGTTGTTAAAACATGTCTGCACAAATTTTTCATGTAGGCTTTGTTTTTAGAATAAGGAATTTTTCAAAAACAATATTAAAAATTAATTGTGGGTTTAAAAGAGTCCAGCATGCAGCAAAGCTCATTAGTTAAAAGTGTGACATACTGGTAGTTAACAAAAAGAGGAGGCATAGTATTAACATCAAACACTTTGATTGGTACACTGAGTTGCATGAGTTTTAAAACCTAACTTCCATTTTGTTCCTGATCAAGACTCTTGTGGTCCTACAGTGAAGGACTATTGAAAATCCTATGGCTAATTCCAGAGGGGAAATCCATATTAGGAGAAAAACTGAGAAATGTCAACAGTATAACAGGTTTTTATCACATTTGTGGGAAAATATTTTTGTGGTCACAGGATTAAGTTTTATGATTAGATGAGGTTTTTATATAGTAACTTGCTTAATAATACAGAACTTTCTACTAAATTCATATGAGATACTGAACCAAGGAGCAGTGTTTCTCAACCTTTTAAGTAGCCAGTACCCCCTCAGTTCTGAACATTTTAATAAGTACCCCAACATGCAGTTTTCCAGGGGATTTTATATTTACAGCCTAATATGTGCTATATGTTGGAAGAAGGGCTGCATATATAAGACTGTGATATGACAGATGTCTGATTTGGTGTGGATAGGGTTGCCACCTTTTACACCAGGGGTGCACAACTCAAGTATGTACCTGGGCTACAGGTGATGTTGCCCAAACCTAGGAGGGCTGAACCACATTAATACTGAGGAATTTATTTATTGGCTGAACCAAATTATTACTGGGGAGTTTAAAGCACCATGCAGTATGCGATGCACCAACTTTTTTGCCATAGTTTTGAGAAGAAAAGAGGGCAAGAGAGAGTGTGTTGGGGTACCTGTGTACACCCTGCCTGTCTCGTGTACCCCCAGAGGTACGCATACCACAGGTGGAGAAACTATGGTTTAAAGCATTACATTGTGTCTGTAGCAAAGCTGTTCAGTTTTTGTCCTGAGGTCCTGGTCCTACAGATAGCTTCATTGCAATGGGGATTCCTTAGAGACACAAGATTTTACCCTTGTTGGGTTCCTTGTAAGATTTGGGCATAACCTTGTTTTATAGAAACTTACTTTGTTATTTATATAGAAAGGACTATTAATAGCCAACCACTACTTGCATTATTCATAACTAGGGCCCTACCGAATTCACGGTGGGAGTGGACTGTGTGGCAGCTCCTTTAATTTTGCAAGTTTCCCCACTGATTGGAAGAGGGGTCCAGCCACTTGTTTCTGATCAGCAGGGAGGCTAAACCGTGGTTTTAAATATGAACCCATTTTTGCCTCCCAGTCAGTCAGCAGCAGGGCCACTGGGGACCCTCAAGCAATCAGCAATGGGGGAGGGCGCACAGGGGAACCTGTCAGTGGCTCTGCAATCACATCAGCCAACTCCCTCAGCACCCTCGGATGCATTGCATCTGGCCTCATGGACTTGTACATTTCCAGCTTTTCTAAATAGTCCCTAGCCTGTTCTTTCAGTACTGAGGGCTGCTTACCTTCTTCCCAAACTGTGCTGCCTCGTGCAGTAGTCTGGGAGCTGACCTTGCCTGTGAAGAGTGAGGTAAAAAAGACATCAAGTACTTCAGCCTTCTCATGACCTATCACTAGGTTGCTTCCACCATTCAGTGAAGGACCCACACTTTCCCTGATCATCATCACGTTGCTTTCTTGTTCCCCTTCATGAACCTTGCTAGCTGCAACTCCAATTGCACTGTGGCCTTCCTGATTTCATCCCTGCATGCCCCAGCAATATTCTTATGCTCCTCCCTAGCATGAACACCACATGCCTCCAGAGGCTGGGGGGCCATGGCAACTGCCTACAGGCAGTGGTTGCGGCGGTGGGAGTGTGGCAGTGGGGAGCGCCAACCAGCAGTCGGCAACCACCTGCAGACGCCACTGGCAGCAGTAATCAGGGACTGCTTGCAGATGCCACCGGCAGTGTTGGCGGTGAGGGGGACAGGGGGTAGCGAGCGGTGACTGCCCACGGGTGCTGCTGGCAGGGTCAGCAGCACTTTTTGCAGGGGGTGCACCACCAAACTCAGGGGGTGCACATGCATGCACGTGCACCCCCTGTGCATTGCCAATATTTCCTAGTCATCTGTCCAAGCTTTCACTTTTTGTAAGCTTTCTTTTTGTGTTTTTCAGCTCACCATAAAGTTCTCTGCTAAGCCAAGTTTGTTGCCTGCCATATTTGCTATTCTTCCTGAACATCGGGATTGTTTGTTCCTGCGCCCTCAGTAAGGTTTCTTTAAAATAGAACCAGCTCTTCTGGACTCCCTTCCCCCTCAGATTGGCCTCCCAGGGGATCTTGCCCATCAGTTCCCTGAAGGCATCAAAGTCTGCTTTTCTGAAGTCCAGGGTCCATACTCTTCTACTCTCCTTTCTTCCTTTGGTCAGGATCCTGAGCTCTTATCTTGTGGTCACTGCTGTCCAAGTTGCCATCTATTTCTACATCTCCCACCAATTCTTTTGTGTTTGTGAGCAGCAGGACAAGAAGAGCACAGCCCCTAGTTGGCCTCTCCAACATTTACACCAGGAAATTGTCTCCAATGGTCTCCAAAAACTTCCTAGATTGCCTATGCACTGGTGTATTGCTCTCCAAGCAGATGTCAGGGTGATTGAAGTCCCCCTTGACAACCAGAGCCTACGATCTGGAAACTTCCCGTTAGTTGTCTGAAGAAAGCCTCATCTACCTCATCCTCCTGGTCTGGTGGTCTATAGCAGACACCCAGCACAACATGACCTTTGTTGCTCTCCTAACCTTAACCCATAGATTTTCAACTGGCCTATCTCCAGTTTCATATTGGAGCTTTGAGCAACCATACAGCTCTTTTACATGAAGTGCAACTCCTCTTCTCCCCTGCCCGTCTTTCCTGAACAGTTTATACCCATCCATGACAGTGTTCCAGTCATGTGAGCTACCCCGCCAAGTCGCTGTTATTCCAATCACATCCTAGTTCCTTGACTGTGTAAGGACTTATGGTTCTCCCTGCTAGTTTCCCAGTTTTTGTGCATTTGTGTACAGACATCTGAGCCAATTACCCTACTTTATCAAACTCTTTTGTGACACAAAACCCTGCAAACCTCATTAAGCCCCATATTTACTTCCAGTCTTCCATTCTCTGCATACGGATTCCTCATGCCTTGAGTCAGACCTCTTCTCCTTTAGGTAGCTTTTCCTATAATGAGATCAGCCCATTCTTCAACATGGCCAACTATACCTAAGCCACACATTGTAAAGAAGCAGTGATCTTTATAGGCAAATATACAAAATAGTTTTAGCAAGATTTTGCTTTTTTGTGCTTCTAACATTCAAGGTTTAACCACTAAATGCCTTTAGTAATATAAAAATCATTTACTAAGTTAGACTTTCAAAACAGGAAATGTGCCCTTAAGTTATACATGCAAAATGATTGAAGGAATACTTAAAAGCAGGTTCCAGTGTTGTGTACCCAGACCAATATCATAGATTTCATAAACATTAGGGGCTGGAAGAGACCTCATGAGATCATTTGAGTCCAGCCCACCTGCCATAGGGGTCAAATGATCCTGGCAAGATAAACATCCAGACGCCAGATAATTAGCAAATTAACCACAGGATATTTGCCAAGTTGAACCGACTGAACCCATTTGCCTAACTCAGATCACTAGTGTCTAGTGTTGGACTGTCTCTCCTAAAGGATACTCACCCCACCTCAACTGTGGCTTCACTTTGCTTATCACTCCTCAGCATGATGAAAAATGGAACAGTACATTCAAACACTGTTGCTTGTGAACTATTAAATGCTGACATAAGTATGAATGATCATACGCATGTTGTAGAGAAACAGCTGTTGACTTGCTCTTTCATTATATAGAATTCACTGTTGTACAATAAAGGAACTGTTGAAGTTACAAGGCCCCAGCAAGAGGATGTCAGCAAGGATCAGATGATTTTCCCTTAGACACTACTCCCATTCTATTTTAAGGTGCAGTGAGAGGGCATCGCTCATTAACCTGGACAAGATCCACATTATGACAGGAGCTTGGCAACAAGAGAAACATGGAGGACAAAATGTAACTAACTCCTGACCCCCTTGTCACTTCTTGTGAGGGCTTATTATGGCCTCGACATACTGGGAATGTTGATGTAGAACGATGGAATTTCATCAGTTCATAATAAAATGTTAGTGCGTGGGTAGCTTGATCTAATGTATCATTATAACCCTTTGCTAGCAACAACACTGCCTTGGAGTTCCCCTTTTTTTGTTCAGCTGGGCGCGACCCAGCTTTCTGTATGATGCCTTGCCATTTCCAAAAAATGAACAGCTTGGTTTCCAGAAATGCTGAACACCAACAACATTGACTTAATTCAATTGGATGTGCAGGTGCTCATCAGCTCAGAGAATCTGGTCCTACAGGGATAAAAATCCAAGTCTAATGAAGGGAGTATGCTGTATGCCTTTACTCTCTCACTGATCTACTGCCTGCTGCAGTTAATGAGACAATGTCAGTAGGAAACTGAAGTGGGCCCCCAAAGCACATGCACTGTAACTGAGCGCTTTTGACTTTTAGTGCACTGTGAGGTATTTATTTTTGAAAAATATGATCCTGTCAACAGCTCTGTGAAGTTGTCTCCAGACTGTTATGTCTCTTCCTCAAGTTTCTGTCGTTTTTAGGAGGCTTAGCTGTGGGGTGGAGAACCTAAAATGGCTGGGGGGCGGGAGGGGGGGAAGGGGGAGGAAGTGGAAGAAACTCGAAAGTGATATATATAGGTATCACAGAAGTAAAACAGAAATATGTGCCTAAAATGTTTAATCAATACCAAAAAAAAAAAAAAATCTAGCAGTGAGAACACTTTTGAGCAAATTAGCTAAACTTTCCAATGTTTTAATTAAATTTTAATTTCTTAATAAGGAAGGCCCCAAAAGGCTGGATAAACTGAAGGGAAAATAAGGAAATTAGTCCTAAGAAAAATTGAGACTTTTTATAGGCTTTTTCATATACAGAAGTGAATCCAATTAAACTATGTTGATAAAGAGGGCAACTGCAAACATGAGACCCAATAAGAACTTTAATAACTTGGACTTGATCTGGTGACATCATTTACTACTTATTCCATTTTTTTTAAAGTTTGGACAGAAATCAGGCACTTTGTTTAAATAAGGTCTTGTACGGAATAAGTTTCAAAATAATTTATAAAAGAAAAGAGAATAAAAGCATTTAACATTAAATATTTCATAGATTTCATAGACATTAGGGCTGGAAGGGACCTCGGAAGATCATCAAGTCCAGCCCCCTGCCCAAAGGGCAGGAAGTCAGCTGGGGTCATAGGATCCCAGCAAGATGAGCTTCCAGTTTCATCTTGAAGGTGTTCAATGAAGGCGCTTGAACCACCTCCGGTGGCAGGCTGTTCCAGACCTTGGGCGCTCAGACAGTAAAGAAATTCTTCCTTATGTCCAGCCTGAAACGATCTTGTTTTTCAGGCTAAAGAGCCCCAGGGCTCTCAGCCTGTCATCGTAGGGTCTGCTTCCCTGACCTCTGATCATGCGCGTGGCTCTTCTCTGGACTCTCTCAAGCTTCTCCACATCCTTTTTGAATTGTGGAGCCCAAAACTGGACACAGTACTCCAGCTGCGGCCTCACTAAGGCCGAGTACAGGGGGAGAATGACGTCCCGGGATTTGCTTGAGAAGCATCTATGGATGCAAGCCAGCGTTTTGGTCGCTTTACTAGCCGCCGCATCGCATTGCAGGCTCATGTTCATCTTGTGGTCAATGATGACCCCCAAGTCTCTTTCTTCCATAGTGCTAGCCAACATAGCACTGCCGAGCCTATAAGGATGCTGCGGGTTTTTTTTCCCAAGGTGGAGAACCTTGCATTTATCGGCGTTGAACACCATCAGATTCTCGTCCGCCCACTTGCTGAGCCTGTCCAGGTCAGCCTGGATAACCTGCCTGTCTTCTGGTGTGGATGCTTTGCCCCAAAGTTTGGTGTCATCGGCGAACTTGGCCAGTTCTGATCGCTTCTGACTCCAGTGTCCACATCATTAATGAAGATGTTGAACAGTATGGGTCCAAGGACAGAGCCTTGGGGGACCCCACTGGTCACAGGACACCACGATGAGTGACTTCCATCGATTACTACCCTCTGGGTCCGACCCCGGAGCCAATTTTCCAGCCAGCGGATCGTGGAGGACCCAAGGCGACAATTGGCCAGTTTCTCCAAGAGGCGATCATGGGACACCAGATCGAAGGCTTTTTTGAAGTCAAGATATATGACATCAATCTCTTCTCCCTTGTCCAGGTGATAGGTCACCTGGTCGTAGAAGGAAATGAGATTGGTCAAGCAAGACCTACCCGCAACAAACCCGTGCTGGCTATCCCTTAAGATGTTGGCGTCGGCCAGTCCATTAAGGATGGCCTCTTTAATAAACTTTTCTAAGATCTTCCCTGGGATAGAAGTCAGGCTGATGGGCCTATAGTTAGCCGGATCCACTTTCCTCCCTTTCTTGAAGATAGGCACCACATTGGCCTTCTTCCAGTCTTCGGGCACTACACCAGAGCGCCAAGAGTTTTCAAAGATCCGTGCTAGAGGCTGGGCTATGATGCTCGCCAGCTCCTTGAGTACCCTGGGGTGAAGACTGTCAGGGCCAGCTGACTTGAAGGTATCCAGCTTCTCAAGATGTTCCTTCACAAAGTCAGCATTAATGGAGGGCAGGGGATCACCCTCACCCGGACTTCCCGGCCCTGTAGCGGGCATGGGCGTCCCATGGGACTGATGAAAGACTGACGCAAAGTACCTATTTAATAGGT